CATAAACAATAATATAAAACACCATTTATAAATATAGAATGATAGATCTATATAAGAATGTTTTTAAATAATATTTTAAACTGGTAACACAACAAACGAAAAGAACAATAGTGATGATTCACAACAAGTTTTTAGCAGTTGATAACAATACTGTATTGTTAGAAGCAGAATTCGTCACAGGGTTTCGTAATATTAAGGACCAATTTGCATTAGTAGTTTGGGAGTTTGGGTTACGCTAAAATTTCATTATTTGCGTGGTTTATTGTATCATGAGTCTATTCGTAACTTACCGAATAATAAAATAAAGCTCTCACCAAAAATGTCACTGATACATTACGTGTAAATTCGGATTAACACGATCACAATTTACAGTTGTTTTAATTGGAATCTGTGGAATGTATTCTTGTAGGTGTACCTTTAAAGATTCCAACTGAAATAACTTAAAATTTTAAATTTCAAACAAAAAAATCTCTAAACAGCGATTAAATTCTTTAAATTCTAAACAATAATGCGAGGTTTTTTCTATCATATTAATGTTCTGAGACATTAAGGTAAACGAAATGCTGCTATATCTATATCTTTGTTCGGGTGGGAGTACTTACCCGAGTACCAGATGAGGGTTACCCTTATATATCGATGTCCATATCCATTTTGCACCCCTACCTTCCCTTCTTACCAACCTCTCCATCCTTCCTCTTCATTCATTATAGGCCCTCCTAATTTTCCCATCTAGTTTTTTCTTCTGATTAAACGAAATGCCCCGCATAAGAGCCATGCTTCGGCCTAAATGGGTAGGTTCGACTGGAGTGATACTACTGCCTCATAGATAACCTTTACAAGCAAGGCTTTTGTGGCTTTTTACTAGGTGAGTGAGGTCACCGGAGTCCAAACCTCCCCTTCTCCTGGTTCTGGGGCAGGTATTCATGGACAGCGGTAGTCACTTGCCAACAGGGGACCCGTATACTCTTTCACTCCTATGTCATGAAAATGTTGACCATGAGATGTTTATGAGCAGCTTAGCTACTTCTCTAGTCACTTGCATAAACCATTGTAAGTTCGTACTTACAAAAGTGTTTTTGGTAGATATTATTTTTAACTGTAACTTATTTCCTTAAATGTCATGACATGTATTAAACAGTCTCTAATACATTAAAATACAAAATTTAACAGCTTTAGTTCATAAAATTTACCACTAAGTATTTAAATTGGTCAATAGTTGTTTTAAAACACGTTTAATTAAACAGCATAAATTTATATAAACACACACAAAAATTAAGGTACTAGAAATCTGTTGAAAATAAAATAAAAATGGATTACAGATCTATAACAGTACATTTTCAAACTTTTAAACTTTCTCAAGTAAGCAAAATCATAGCAAAACTAACCACCAGTGGGCATTTCGCTAATAAAATTCTTAAATTAGCCTGATGCATTAATTACTAGAAGCTTGACAACACAAAATAAATGATAGTCTAAATAAAAAAAAATTAACTCGACTATTCAAATTATTTTTTAAACATTAAGGTTATTTAATCAAATTGAAAAAATAGTACGAATGTGGCTAGTTTACTTTCAATATCTAATTGATTGGTGTTGAAAATCAATTGATCTTCGACCAGTTTCCAAACACGTCCAAAATGTTGTTACATCTTTTCATAGATTTTTTTAACACTATTTATCGCTTGTTAAACATCAATTTGTTTCACATTAACTTGTTTTTACTTTGGTTTACGTAAACACATTTTAGTAACTATGATATTGATTACTGATCACAAAACAATTGTTACTAATCAAATATTTAGTTGGTAAATGAGACGTCAGATCCACTTGCACAAGTTTAAAGAAAAAAAACTATTGTTTTTGGACGAATTAAATCGCTGATATTGGACAAATAAAATGAAAAAATTTTTTTTAATTAAACAGTTCAGACTTTACAGAAATGTAAAACATATAAGCCGTATTTTTTGTGTGGTAACCCTCACGGGTTTTCATCTCACGGAGGCTTAACAGTTAGGTGACATATCGGACGTTAACTGATTAAACCTACACTGATAAACAAAATAATATATGTAACCCCATAGAGTGTATTTTCGTGAATTTAGGTGGTAAAAGGAAACATTTTAACAAGTTTTTTAAAGAAACAATATTTCCATCTTATTACTGTCCGTGTGGTGACGGATTAAGAATAGGGAGTGTCACCACCACTTTTCATCCCGTGGGTGTCGTAAGGCGACTAAGGGAGCAAACTATGCAGAACAACAGCACTGTAAAAAGAAAGAAAACTTGCAAGAATCCCTATACCAACCCGTCTGGCCAGCGTTTTATAGTAGGCCAAAACAAATTTTACCATTCTACTCGTATACTTTTATCTGAATTTAGAAATTTAGTAAATAGAAATTACAACAAAAATTAAAAAACATAACAGAAGTATATTTAAATAGATAAAATATTACTCATTTGATTTAAACATAACTTCATTTATGGAAAGGATGAATCATGACACGCAGAAAAATAAGTTCAGAGCACTATGCACCTCAAAAATGTGGAAAATACTACCGGAAAAACATATTATGGAATATACTACTAGAAGAACATATTATGGAATATACTACCGGAAGAACATGTGGAATTTCCTGCCGTAAGAACATGTGGAATATACTATCGGAATTATACTACATCATCACCATCGTCGTTGCAGGTCAAGTTGCAATGGGCGACGGTAGCCTCATCAACAGGCTTGTACCCTAGGTATACCATCTTTTGCAATTTAATGCTACCCGATAAAAACACTAATGCAAGTGGACCCAGTTTTGTTCTATTCACACACAAGCACATAACATCACCTACATAAGTTAAAACAAATACCTACTTACATTTATGTAATCTTCAGCCATGAACATCACAAATTAGTATCAATATTATGAATTAGACTAACATTTACACAAAACTTACGTCGATATAAATATAGTACCAAGGTTTTGCTTTCAGTGTCTTTATTGTTGTTGATAACTCTGGTTTCTTAGTTGACATCCGGGTGACCTTTTTATTGAAAATAATAATTTAAAAATACAGAAAACGATGACAGCTCGAGTCGATAAAGATCAGTCCTCCCGACGACTAAAATACATTTTAAATTTATTTATGACTAATTGACAAAACAGAGATTGTTGCTTTTGTGTGTGTTGATCTATAACTTTAGTCTACATAAAAGACGATTTCAAACAATTAAAAAAAAAAAATGATATAAAGAGAGTTTTAGTTGAGTTAAGTTGAGTGACTCTCTCTCTCTGTTACTCATACTCCCATATAAGCAATACCCCATTCCTCTCTATCCCGTTCCTACCATAGTTTCTAAATCTTACCAACTCTTCTTTTCATATTGATCTCCCAATTTTCCCACACAATTCCTATAGGGTTGGTTCCTAATTAATAGGGGCCAAATATATTGCCGGTTGACGGCAATATATTTGGCCCCTATTAATTAGGTGAAAATCAAATATGTGGGTGTAGGGTGCTGCTTAACCCTTGTACTTACTATTTTGGGGGTATGGGTAAAAAAGTATGTAGATATTGGAAGGATTATTGTAGTCGTTTTGTTTTTTTAATTATTTTCGAGGTAATCCTTGTTGTGTCGGTATTTTTACTTTGATCGGAATGTTTTTTTTTTATTTTTTGTTTGCGATAAATAGCCTTCGATTTTTAAGCGACTTTAAACCAAGGAAAGTTCTTAATTCGTCCATATTTTTATTAGTTACTTCATAACGCAAACTTATAATCCGATTTGGAAGATTCTCTCTATTTGACGTATGGTCTCATTTGAATTTTAAGAAAAGCTATCACCCTTAAGGCTGGAAATTAAGGAATAAATAATGCAGTTTATTATAATTGATCACGTTGTAAGTGCATTGAACCCGGTTATACTTCTTTAAAGTTATTTTTTTTAATTTTTTACATACTTTATTTAACTTCGCATCTAAATTGTCTACAAAAAAATTTAGATTTATATAACTGTTTGACAACAAACAATAATATACAGTAAATATGATAGCCATTTAATTTCAGAAAATATTGAAACATCGAAATTAAAAACATCCAGTTTTTATTTTTATGTTTTCTATAAGATACCATTTTCTTTTTTCTTTTGACAGAAAACCTATTTACTTTTTATCTTTAAAGTTTATTTAGTCTTCTTGATAATCCGCTTAACGTGAAGTGAGTCCCGCCGTATGGGGGTCTTAGAGCTCTTAACTCTTAATCTTCGTTCAATGAGTGTCTACTCCCACGCGTTTAAAAATATTCTACAAGATCTGAACTACAGAGTCTTAGACAAAAACCGAATATTTTCGTGTGAAATGGAACATTAAAATGTAACACACGCTTTAATATATTTAAAATACTATACATATAATGTTCTTCTAATCATTTAAAGAAAGACTTAGTGATGTACCCGATTCAGCGGATATTCACAAGTACGGCGTTAATTTTTTCCCCGTCTAATACCGATACTCGAGACCTTGAAACGACAGTTTATTACTTAATTGCAATTTTACTGCGCGTGTTGCTTTAAACAATTATCTCAGATTTACTTCTTATTTTAGATTAAACTTTAAATGGCTGTGACCTGTGTTCTCTTAAATAATTTTTGTAAAGCTAACAGATCACAACCATCAACCAATAGTTTGATCTCGTTTAAGTATAGTCCAACTTCAGATTATACATATGAAATTATGTATTTCAGTAGTTTAGTAATATAAATTTGGAGTTCTATAAAAGTTAAAAAAAAGTTTAATAATCTAAAAAATCCGTTTAAGATTCGGATACGGATGCAGAATTGCGGCACATCACTAGTGGTAATAATTTTTAATTTTCTTCTTAAAATGTATCATAAAAATTAAATAAATGTTGATAATTTTAGTATCTAATGAGCTTAGATTATGATGATGATATAATGATATTTCATTAATCTATTGTTAATTTATGTTTAGTGTTTATGTCCTCACCTCATACGCTTTCTTGCCGACTTCGCTGTTGTCCTCCTCATGTGATGAATGGTATTCTTTCTTGCCACCTATAACACAATAAATGTTATTAGTTATAATAAACATGACATAATAACCATTGATTACATAATACTGTGACGTAATTACGTGTGACGTCACGACTCTACCATGGACCTCTCCCGTAAAAAAATATTAGAAAATATTTAAAACATATCGAAATTGTTTTTTTTTTTACTTTTATGTGTTCTATAGTGACTACCATTTTATATTTTCTTTTAATAGATAACCTTTTGATCTTCAAAGTTTATTAAGCCTTCTTTATAATCCGCTTTTATTTAGCCGCCTTTATGTACGTGAAATGACTCCCGCCGTACAGGGGTATTAAGGCTTTTCACTGTATCTACCTCCCTTTGTATTGGGATAGTGAGGGGGGGGGGGGGGGTTGGTACTCGAAGGTAGGCAACACAACTGAATCCAGCAACTCAAGAGGGACAGAATTGTCTTAAGTTGCAAGTGTCTATGGGCGGCGGTAGTCACCCGTGTACTCGTTGGTCTCCCATATACCATAAGAAGGATGAACAGTGGATATTTAAGTAATTTAAGCGAAAAATTAATACAGAGGATTCCTACCCGAAACAAATATTTGTGTGGTGAGCACGATGATTTATTCTGTGTCTGACTGTAATTTATCTATAATATGTATGTATTACGAAATATATGTGGGTTTTTAAGCAGTCTGGTTACCATAGTACAGTCTCTGCCTAGTTTGGCACCAGACGTCCATGTGTGGGATGTGTAAGGTTATTATTATTATTAAACTTGAGAGAGCCATGCATTTTCTATAATTGCTGTGTCAAAATATGATACGATCAGTTTATTACCTAATTAGAATATAAATAGGTAACCAATTAACTCTATTAATAGCTTAAAACTGCATAACCGATTTTGCTAATATTTTAATACCAGGTAGCTTTCTTTATAAGGAGTAACTTAGGCTATTTTCTTTTTCAGAAAAACCCTGTAAAACGAACGAAGTCGCGGGTACCAGCTAGTAATAAATAAATATGTTTCTAAGCGTCTTTGTTAAAAACGCATGTAATTCATTTTAATGACGCTAACATACATGTAAATTACAGTGGACTAAGCATCTCGATGGCTGACAATACGACATTTATTGGCATAGTTATAAATGATAAACTTGACTGCAAGGAACATATAGAAAAATCTCATAGAGGATAAATGGACTCTCTTTCGCTCTGTACAAACTGGCAAAAGTTTCTTGCTAAATTGCAGCATGTACAGCGTACTTTGCGTATGTCGAATCTGTGTTAAGGTATGGGTTGTTGATATGGGGAAACGGTACAGATATAGATGAGTCTTTTATAGCACAAAAACGGTGCATTAGATCCATATATGATAGCGCTCCAGACGTATTTTGTCGGCCATATTTAAAAAAAACTAAAGATCCTTACGTTACCGTGCTTGTACATTCTCGAGGTATGCAAATTCATAAGACAGCACCCTCAAACATTTAAGCACAAGGAACAACATTAGAAATCCAAATAGACTTGTGTTGAACATCGTACCTAGGTCGACAAAATTTCAAAAAACTTGTTACGCGATGTGCGTTAAAGTCTTCAGAAAAATCACAGATCTATTCAAAGAACTACCCTTAAATAAGTTTGTCCCAGCCCTGAAAGATTGGTTAATTACTAATACATTTGAATCGGTCAAAGACTTTTAATGGTAGAGATTAGTAGGAATAATATATCTAATTCATAAGTTTTTTACATAAAATGTTAAATTTGAATGCTATTTTCTTAGCCAAATGGGTCTGTTCGCATTAAATTAAACCTTTAATACCCATTATGTACTAACCAATTTATAGCAAATATAAAATTTGAATTTGAGCGGTATATTTGTATAAAAATGGGTGAAAGAATTTTCTTCACGTATAATATACAGATATATATAAACATTGAAAGTGTTTGTTTAAAAATCAATACAGTCAGAGACTATTATCACTATTTATTAACAAACAACATTCTACGATATCACACAAGGAGTGGATTAAATTTCTCAGAAGACAGTAAGTTAGTCGCTATGACGGCTCTAGACGCAATTCAATTGCACTGTGGCGCCCGCACATTCACAGATAAACAACAGAAATTTAAATCGGTACAGTCTTTGCATTTTCTAACCATATTATATAATATAGGAAGTGAAAAGAACACGTTGAGTGGTACCAAACGGTAGGTGTCTGTCGCTGACGGTTTGAGAATAACTATTGTCACTACTCCTACTCATCCCGAGGGTGTCGTAAGAGCCGACTAAGGGAGTAACTACGCAGGACAACAGCACTGTCAAGAGAAGGAAAACTTGACACAAACACAACTCGTAAAGTAGGCCAAACCTCCTTTCTGCCGAGAGGCCTATGTCCAGCAGTGGACTATTAAAGGTTATATATCGGGTTATATATCGACTCGACACTTGACTGGCGGGCACAGGTTACACACGTCGGCCAGAAAGTCACCACATGTCTCCGTGCCTTATATCGATTGAAGAACTTCCTTCCCGCCAAAACTAAGGTTACGCTTATGCAGTCCTTAATTATTCCCATAATCGACTATGGTGATGTGTGTTATTTCGACCTGAATGCAGACCTTCTCAATAAACTAGATCGCCTTCTCAATAACTGCATTCGATTCGTTTTCAATCTTCGCAAGTATGACCACGTGTCTGCTTTACGTTCCCAGCTGCAATGGCTCCCAATTCGTCAGCGCCGCAGTTTACGAGCACTGACTTCTCTCTTTTCTTTCCTCAACTCTCCATCGTTACCCGAATACCTCGTACCCCACTTCCGTTTCCTATGCTCCAATCACGATCGAAATCTTCGATCAACCAACAATATGCTTCTTCTTTGCCCCCCTCACACCTCTAACTTCATCAACTCCTCCTTCTACGTCCAGTCAGTCCTCCTCTGGAATGCCCTCCCTGCCGAAATCAGGATGTCAACAAATCGCCTTGCATTCAAGGGAAAAGTGCGCGATCTTCTTCGGGGTGAATTAGCGAAATAGTTACAGCTCTAGTGCCCGACTGAGTATTTATATATTTTATTAAATTTATGTAGGTTTATGTATGCATGTGTGTTTTTATATTGTGTATGTTTCTGGAATTAAATTATGTTAATATCATATTTTATTTTGCACCTACCGCATCATATTTCTACATCACCTGAAGGTTGACTGGGAGAGAATGCCTAATGGCATTAAGTCCGCCTTTGTACAATATGTGCATTAAGTTTAAAATAAATAAATAAATAAATAAAGGCCGTTGTTGTGATGATGATGTGTAACGGCAGAAATGGAACTGTAGCAGCTTTTTTATAACAAAAAATGGTAAATGAGCAAAAGGTTCATCTGGTTGACAATAACTACTAGACACCTGCAGCTCAAGAGTCACAACTACGTTGCCGCCCTTGCAATCCCCCCTCCCCGCAAAATCAGGGTAAGGGAGGTTAGGCTGCGGTAACTTCCCCCACTCAGTGAAAAACAACGAAATAATGGCTTAACGATGATTTTTTGTCAGGCAAAATGATATCCCAGAGCTCCCCAGGGATCTACTCTCGATCTCCTAAATGTCATAAAAGTTATTTATTGAATTAGTAAAGTATTACTAAGACTAAGTAACAGTACTATTAGGCTAGTCAACAAGTTCAAAAACGTGTCAATTCTTGATAAAGCTTCTAAAAATATAAGCGATAGCTCATTCGATTCGGTATGACATCTAGAAAAAAATAAAGGAAAGTATGTATTGGCACATAAAAATTGCAATTGTTATTAACAAAAAAAGATGAAAAAAGATGTCAATAACTCAAAAATAATTAACATAAAATGAATTTAGAAAAAAAATCCTTTTATATTTAATACTTTAAAATACTTTATACGACATTTCGAATCGAAATTCGATCGAGAGTAGATCGGAACTAAATTTTGATCAAATTTTTATTAAGAGAATTGGTTTTCTGATATTTGTCTTCACAGTGTTCACACCATCCAACCCGTGCACTATTTTATAAGTGACTAAGTTTCATTTTAACTTGTAGCAGTGAGAAGCGAGATTTCATTTTATAATGACTTTTACTCGAGGGTGAAGATACATTTACTTCAACGTAGAAAACAGTAATTGTATTCTATTTTTATGGCGGGAAAAATGTGTATCACTTTGAGTATTGAACTCAATGATTTTATATACTTACAAGAGGTAGATACGCTACCAACGCACAAAACGTGGGGGTCCTAATTAGGACCGCAAAAAGCGCGCGCACCTACTAATTGACTGCACGGATGGCGTAGTGGTTTAAGCGGTCGCCACGCCGCTCACTACTACGCTAAGTGTCGTGGGTCCGATCCCCACATGGGACGACACTTGGTGTGATCCACAAATTGTTGTTCTGAGTCTGGGTGTTCTTTCTTTCCGTTTCATATTGTATGTTCCTAAAGTCCCCCGTGACACAGGAGGAGAGTCCCTCCTTTCTAATAAGAAGCCTATGTCAAGCAGTGGACTATTAAAGGTTGATGATGTGATGATGTGAAACCAACAGGCTCGTCCAATGTATTATGAAATCTATATTTTTTTTAAGTTTTAGAAGGGATGACACTTTGTGTGATCCACAAATGAGTGTATGTGTATGTATTTAGAAATATATAGGTATATTTAATAGCAGTTTTTAGTCTTTTAATTATACCTATATTTTCACGCAGTCGCATTTCGTGTTTTTTTTAAATAAAAAATAAGATTGTTTATAAATAATAATAAATAGTTTCTATTTATAGACCAATGGAACTATCACTGAGAAAAAATTAACATTTTTAGATTTTCGCAGTATCGCCCTATCTTTAAACAAATAATAGCCTTGTAAATTCCACTCTTTAGGGCCATGACAGATGAACCGCGTCATTGTTAACCAATTTAAATTATCTTCCCATGATTATAGCTTTCACTTAACACTTTCGTTTTAAACAACATTTTCTACGGCAACAGTGGAGTTATTACAGAACGATATAAG